GGGTTAAGCATACAGACTGTAAAAGCACATGCTCAATAACAGAATAGAAAATGGAATTTCATTTATGAGGGTCAGCTGATGAGACTGCATACTAATAACATACCAGAGGCTGAGTAGTCTTGAAAGGAGACCCTTAAATAGGCTTGATTTATTTTTAAAAATTGATTTAAAAACATATTATGACTTTAATTGGTCACATTGGTCACTGTTAATGAATGTGGACTCCAAAAAATGGTTAGTATGTTTTAGGAAATGCTATTGAATAATGAAGAAAAATCATTCTCAAAGACTTGCATTTTGTTTAAGAGAACACACAGACTTCACAGTTCATCCCTCTTCAGTGTTTGCATACATAGAAATTTCAGTGCTAAGTTGTGTGATTTTTTTAAAATTTTTTTTTTCTTCCCCTGGCATTGTAAATATATGTGTCTCAATCTTTTATGCTGTAATTTAGTCACCAGCCTCTGGCCTGAGTGCAACCTAATGTATACCTTCCTTACTGGCAGGAACTGTCAGTATAACAGGCAGTATTACAGCAGTGGTAACTGCTCTGCCATCTTCTCCTGAGCAGCATCTTGGAGCGTGTATATCTGGGGAGAGCTGGCAGCTTCTGCCATATCCATGGCATGGGAGTGGAAGCAGGAGGTCCTCTTCAGCTCCACCTACAACTGAATTTCAGTTTTTAGGGCAAACATGTTGCTTTCAAGCTGTAACTCTGACCTTTCAAACAAAATATCAAAGCTCTTAAAGCATTATTTTAAATGTGAATGTTACTCTCACATTTCCTGCAGTGGAGAACATTTAATCACACATTTCCTGCAGTAGGAAAGAATTTAATATTTTTCAGCCAGACTTTTATCCTAAGCTGATAGTAATCCAGATCTTCACAGAATGCTTTGCTTCAGCAGAAAGCAATTAACAGCTGCTTTTGGGCATGGGGGTGGAAGAATCTTAAGTCTTACATGCAGTGTGAGCACAGTGATATGTACACTCCCACAGAACACCTTGAATTTGTCCTTCAGTCTATGCAGTGGAGTTAAAGTAGATATCAATCTTGATTTGGCTAGACTGGATGTTCCCAGGGGTGGGATAGAGACTGGAGGCACTGTAGGGAGTATCTACATAGGGTTAATATGTGTGATGGGGACTGTCCAGTTGTTGTGCACCTCCCATTCCTACTGTGACTCTCAGGCATGTGTACTGCATCTTTATTTGTATACATATCCTTTCAAACTTCTCAATGTTTTCTGTGTGTAACTGTGTGTAACTTGAGTAAAACTTTCCATCTTGGCAAGTGAGCTCCAGCTCAACCATGCAGTTTGGTTAAGGGCACAATGTTATTTTATGGCACATACTTGACTTTTTTTTTCCCTTTGAAAAACAAAATTCTGTATCCAAAAGATTCACTGGAAAATAGGGTTGAATGTTCCTAGCTTGGATCTAGTCCTTTATCTACAGTGGAATAAGAAATACAGGCTTGTAATGTGAATTCTTAATATTTTAGTTGTTATAATCTTAATTGCACCAGTCTACAATTTCCAAATGTCTTTTTGTAGTATATCACATGATGAATGAACTTTCTGGGCAACTAAACAAGTGTCTTTTTATACTTCTGCTGCTGGCCAAAACTAGCTTCTGTCACTATTTTAAGTAGACTCTTCACATTTGGTGAGTGGAATTGTGCTGAATTTGTATGGATTCTGCTGTGAACCAACTAGGCCCATTTTACATATTCACCAGCATTCAGTGACTGAGACTTAAGTCCTCTTCAAGCATTGGACATGGACTGATGAACAGTCTTTATGCTATAGCAGAGTAATGTATATACTGTAAGCTGTTACTTGTCAAAAGAAGCAGTTCTTTCTCCAGTCCTCTTCTCCATGTCCTAGCAGCTGGTAAAGTATAGCTGGTTCCTGATGTATTTTACTTGAAATGCTTTTCAGTGCAAGAAGTGGAGTAGTGGAAGGGCAGGATTTTTTCTGCCTTAGGAGGAACCTTAGGAGACCTGTCTTAAGCCATTTTGGGGAAATAAATTTGACTTCAGAATTTCTATAACCTGTAATACAGACACTGTACAGCGTTCATAGTGCATTTTTAACTCAAAGGCAAGCTGTACTTAAGTTTTTGAGAACTGAGTAATCATACTGAGAACTGAGTAATCATACAAGTTTGTAGAAAGAGAGAGAAAAGTTAAGGCTCCTACTTCTCTCACAAGAAACCTTTTCTTTGTTATTGTTTGGTGACAATGTATGAATGGTGGAGTAAGAATTATAATAGGTTTCTTGTGCTTAAATAGCACTCTGTTCACTAAGGTAATTTTATATACTGTACTAATAGCTAGTCATTAGAAAATTAAAATTAGGTTTCAGCCACTTTTCCCTCCTGCCCTTTGGTACCCAAGCAAACTTAAATAGCTTTCATTCAATTGTCTCTTCACTTTACATGGCTATTCTTAGCATGGAATAATTCAGTATGCTGGTCTACCAATGGCAAACAGTTGTTGTCATAAGTGCGGGAACAAATGGCTGTGGCCAGCAACACCAGAATTGCCTTCTGCTGGTGCTGTTGCAGAAAAAGTTGTATGGAATTGTACCCAGGTTTCTGCTCCTGCTAGCTAACATGCTGATCAAACAAAGAATTTTACTTAAAATCTTCATTTGTAAGAATGAAATTAACTATTTTAACACTTGCCTGAAGTGGTATTCATGCACAGGCTTGTTAACCTTTCTGATGTGGTTCTTTTTTGCCTTGTGCCAGCGAGGTCTTTATTTGGTGTTATTTAAGATGAGTTTAGTATTTTATTCGTGGTAGCTTGTGTAACTTTGTCATCTGCAAGCAATGTACAGTTAAGCATGGGTAAAAGTAATACCTAAATCAGATGTAAAGCAGCTGCATGTGTATGTTCAATGTATTTTGTTGTGCAGCAAGGAAGCATGGGCTTAAACATCTTAACCCAAGCTGAGCAGCAAAGTTAAACCTCTGCCTGGTTTCCGAAGATACTGTTGTTGTATTTCAGAGCCAAGGTGCAATAACTGAGAAACTGGGAAGTTTCAGTATGCATGATTTGACTGCTATACAAGGAGATGAGTCTGTTGGACAGAGACCTTATCAGACATTGCCAGAAGCTAAAAAGAAAACCAGAGCCTCTGCAAGTGAATCTTCAGGTATGTATCTTTTCTTTTCCCTGCCTAAAAGAACAATTCACCCAAAGCAAAAGTGGAAGAGCAGAAATACATTTACCCTCTTTCTAAATGGAAAAGGCCTCAAAGAACTCCAGTAGACTTAAACAGAGTACACTCAAAGTAAATTATGGCAGTTCAATTCTTCCTGAATTACTTTCTTCTCTCATCCACTCCCAGTGTAATCACACTGTATTCATTACTCCTGTCATTGCCAATTGGCAACAAGAACTTATTACCAAAGTAAAACTTAATTGGAAGTCAAACGTTATATGATTAAGTAGTGTTTCTGTGACAAATGTAAAAGAAGTTAAACATGAAAACATATGGAAGCTCAGTAAATAAAAGAGAAAATTAATAGAAATTACTTCACCAGGTGTCCTGGGGTGACTTTATGATACTAGTATTCCCAATCTCCTGCTTTATATTTATATCTCTGTTAAGTTCTTCACCTTTAATATTAGCTTTGAGAGCCAGGGAAGTTAAAACTGCTGGAGGCTGATGGGAGTTTTTTCTCCGACCAATAACTAGCTATTTCTGAGAACTGACAGTGGTTTTGACCATTGAAAAGTGAGATCAACCTGTGAACACCTACTTTAAGACCTAAACCCGAGAATTTCTTGTTCTCTTTGGTTTCTGGCTTTTGAAGAAGTAACAGGTTCCGGCTCAGCCTCCTCCTCCACCACAGCAGGCCAGACAAGGCCGCGGAGGGGAGTGGCGGGGAGGTGAGCAGGCCCAGGCCGGATCAGGCCAGTTCCCCTGGCTCGGTTGCAGTTTCTGCCACTGCTGAGTTTTACCAGAGACTGCCAAGTAAGGAGAGGCCATTGCAGACATCTCTAGCCACCGCTCTGGCAGAGATAAGAGAACCACCTACCAGGCCTGGGCAAGATTTTAACCCTTTCATTACCCAGATGAGACTTGCAGATTAATCCTTTTTTCCAGAGAGAGAAAGTGATCAGCATGTAAAAGAGACCCTATAAACTATCAAAGATAGTGAAGAAAGGAATTAAACCTCAGAGGAGGTAGAGAAAGAAGAAGATGCTTTAATAAGCTGAAATATTTTTCTGTTAAAGCTATGGAGATGGACAGTAGTGTTCTGAAAAAAACTTTAATTCATGGCAGTATATTGGGAGGAATGGAGTGTTTCAAAGTGAGGATTTTGAGCAAATGGTGAAGTGGTTGTGGTACTGTGAGATGCTGGAACAGAGGGGGAGAGTAATAGTTGAAGATTTGCAGCCTTTAAGAGGCAAAGAGAACACTTCTGTTTCCAGAGAAGCTCACAGAGACACATGAAGAGAACTTTTGCCTTTGAATAACTCAGCCTTAAAAATGACATCCCTAGACTCATTTGACACATAACACACCTCAGAGTGATGTGAAATGAGAGGAGAGAACCGATGGCAGAATTTCCAGGCAGCTGGCATCAGAGAAATAAAAAGCTATAAAAGAAATAGTTTTCTTGTGAGAAGCTCCATAGATAGCAGAAGAAGACTTCTGTTTCTCTACAAAGACTGATGGAAAGACTCTAGCAAGAATTGGGACTGTTTTAAACAAAAGTTTTTTTTGTCTCTATGTTGTCATGTGAACAAGGGAATGGTTGGGTAGTGAGGCAGAGAAGGATTGTTCTGGAGGTTTTATTCTGGTTTCTTATTCTTGTAGTTTTTGTTAATAAACTTTCTTTATTCCTTTTAAGTTTTAAGCCTGTTTTGCTCTTGTTCTATCTCGCAGCAAGAAATAAGTAAGTTTTCTAGTGATTTTTCAGTTACTGCTTTAAAACCACAACACCAGGTTTGTAGTAATAGATCAAAATGTAAAATTGTATATGGTGATACGAATAATAAAGGCATCAAGTTGTCATAATAGACTGATGTCTATTAACACTCAGAAGATGGTGTGTGGTGATCAATATATGGTCTTGTTGAAAGATAGTATTATTTCATTATTATGTTACATATACTGTTATTGTCATCATCACTTTGCCCTTGAGCTTCTGACACTTGAAGGAAGGTTTTGCTGAAGGTCTGCTAACTACGTAATTTTTAAATAGCAAGACTGTGATGTATAGGAACTGCTGTTTCCCACAAAAGAAGTGGGTCTGGGCTATTTCTTTTCACCTAAGACTGTCATTCCTTCTCATCCCTCCATTTTGGGGAGGGATAGCATTTGTGGGGTCCAAGGAATTTCACGAATAGTGTGCTAGCCCATTCTAAGGAATAGGTGACCAGCTGAAGGGACCTAATCTGAATTGGAGTTTCCAGAAGGTATCCTGTGCAGGGCAGTGTGAACTGAAGCCTCTGGCTGGAGAGAAAGCCAAGAATTCACAAAGAGCTGCACTAGAGATAATGTCACTGCAGCTGTTGTGCAGGATCTGTTCCTCAGTAAGAGAGCATTATTTACCTATCTGAAATAGCTTAAAAATGCTCTAATTTTTTTAAAAAAATTCTTCAGTTTATACTATATAAATAATCACCGATTGTGAGATTCAATCTCAAATGTCAAAAAGCTTTCTTACAGCTAGTTGAACTTAATTAATTTTTTCTGGTCCTGGTCTCATCTAGCATACACCTCTCATGTTTTCTTCAGCATTAGGAATTTAAAAAAGATCAAAAGTACACACAGATTTAGGAACACTGTGTAGCAATATTCTCTTGTGCTGAGCTGGATCTAATTTTTTGTCTGGGCCAGGAGTTCTCTGCAAATTGATTTAAAAGGCCTAGTTGTAGGATGTGGATTGTAGGATGATGCTGAGCTGGCAGTGCTCTTGCTGTGAAAAAGGCAGATGGGATGCTGATGCATCAGGTATTACAAATGCAGATAAAAAAGTATTGGTGTCACTGCAAACACTGCTACTCTGAAACAGAGAAAGAGATGTGATTCAAATCTTCTGTATTGAAAAAGATTAATTGAAACTGTACTGGAAGCAGAGACATGTTGCCTTTAAAATGGCAGAAGAGAATGACCGAATGTTTGTCTCAAGTAGCTGTGGAATGGATGATGTGATTCTAATTTCTAGGGAAAAAAATTGATGAAAAAAATTAGATAAGCCTAAATAAAATATTGGCTTAAGATAAAATGTACACAGGTCATTGATAAAATTTGGTTTAGAGTCTAAAAGGTGTTCCTGAGTGTTACAGCCAGTAGATTCTGGGATAAAAGGAGTGTTCAGTGGAGGAAGGAATCAGACTGGATTTGGTAGCTTTGCGATAGGTCTGTGGTGGAGATTCGGGACTGTTGGACCCCAAGGAGCTTTCGGAGTGTATTTTTAAGCAGTTAGTGCCCTCTAGTGAGAGTCTTAGGTAATAATCTTGGTCCTGGTTTTGTAGTATGTTAACAACTCTTAACAGTACTTTGGTGTGTTACCGAAATGAAAGAAACTTTGGTATTAAAAATGCAGGAGGATGAGTGTATGAAGAAAGATTCTATGAATGCAAGTCATCAAATGGTTTGTATTGGGAGGGATCTTTAAAGGTTTATTATAAGTGTAACCACCTTCTCATGTGGATTGTGTCCTAAAATCTTATGTACTTCTTTAGACGATCACTAAAGTTTTTGCAGTTCAGTGTAAAGCAGAAGATGTCAGCAAAATTGTGATTCCAGTCTTGACAACTGAAGAAGCACTGCATTACATACCTGTGGAACCAAGTGGCAGGATTAGAAGTACCAAACTCATGGCAAAGTAGATGTTTCTGTTTTGAAATAAGCACATCATCTAAAAGCATAAATCAAGGTAAAAATCACTGCTTTCTTAGAAGTCAAAAAGTTACAGCTACTATTTTTTAAATATTTTTTTTCTAAAGGTTACAAAACCCCACTGGAAAAAAATCCTGGAGATGATAAAACAGATGAAGAGATGGAGGGGACACATTCTGAGGATGAAATGTTTGCTCAGAGAGGCCTTCGCAGAACTCAGAGTATGAAGTCTGTGAAAACTATTAAAGGCCGTAAAGAGGCAAGTATAATCCTGGTTAATTGAGTTTGTTCTTTCAGTGTATATTGGCATATTCATAGTGCAGAAATTTATTTTTATTTTTAATATTGGAGAAGTTGTCAACAATAACTGGGTTCCAGAATGCTAAATGGGGAAGAAAGCATGTGACAACAATATTTAAGTTTGGAGCTTTTGTAGTTTGGAGTGTTTAGGGGAAATATATGTATGAAATTAATGAAGCAAGGAGCAAGGGAGAGGAGACGAAACAGACTGTATTTGAAATGCTAATTTTGGCACCACCAAGCCTAATTTCAGGAAGTGTTCGCCTTGAAAGAGGGTATGGATAACAATAATATTATCTGTGTGTTGTGCACACTTAAACATCTGCTGTTTAATAGATAAAGAATATTCAGAATTTTTTAGTTGCCATAGACAAACAGCCTGACTCTTTGTGATCTACAAAGAGAAGATCCTAGTTAGCATCCTAGTGCATGCATCACAAAATTTAAAGATACTCCAGTATAAATCTCTGTGAAGTCTCATAAAAGTTTTTGGGTCATTCCAGGAAAACAATTGATACTTACTCTTCTTGCCCAATTCTGTTGAAACTTTATCTTATTCAGTCATAGGCAGATTCTCTTAGTGAAACTGGGTGTCCAAAGCACATTGGAAGACATTTGCTAAATAGGATTAGTGGGGAGGTGAATCATATTTCCATTTCATGTGACTTAGTACTTCATTATAATTTTGTTTTTCCCCTCAGATACGATACGGATCACTAAAATACAGAGTAAAGAAGAGACCCGTTGTATACTTTTAAGTGAACTGCACAATTCCTGCAAGAGAAACTGCTGTACTATAGTAACTTGAATTCAAGTGTTAAAGATCTGTGTACAATGCCTAGAATGAGTCTGTATGAACAGATATGGTAGGACTTGGTTTTGTGAGCCCAAGTGGTCAGATAAAGTATTACTCTGTTTTTCTATAATTGTGTCATGTTTAGATTTAAATCTGGACAAGTTACAGCATGGATTTCAGCACTGCTTAAATAGGAGTAAAATGAGTAATAGGAAATACTCCTTTGCCAGAGGTATTGAACAGATTGAAATAATTGCAAATCAAATTGAATTAAGAGAAGCTGTAAGTATGTAGAGCTTGTGAAAATTGAACCATAGTGTCCCCAAGTTTACACTGAAAGATAAATATACTTGAAACATTTTTCTGAACTACAATTCCTGAAAAGGCCTTTGTGTAATTTTTAAATGTACAGTTTAAAGGACAGTGGGTGATGGAGGGAAAGGAAAAGGATAGATGAGACAGGTAAGATACATCCTTAACTTCATCATTTTGTGTCATATTGCCAAGCTTAGCAAACTGGGGTACATACAGCACTTTATGCAAAACTGTATAGTTTTGCACACTCTTAATGATTTACAACTGCACGTCATTTTAGTGACTTGCTACATAGGCTAGAGTTACATTTTGAATGGCAGCAATTCTTGTATTTCATGATATTTTTAAAATTCATCTTGATTCCTTAAGTACACTTAGGATGCTGTAGATATCTGCTACTAATGATATTATCAGGTGCCTTTCTATGTATTACTGGGCTGTGTAGGTTTTGTGGTTTTGGGGTTTGTTTTTTTTTTTGTTTGTGGGTTGTTTTGTTTGTGTCTGTCTTCCTCCATCTAAAGAGATATAACATGATTTAAGTCAGATTTTGGTTAAAATTGTGGCAAGTAAAACTTGTAGCAATTCCAGTGATGCACCTCAGGGATCTTATCAGCCCATGAGCTGTGTGTTCAAGTCATGCTGCCGTAAAGTCATATATGATAGGTAAGTCAGGCCCTGGTTTAGTTTTGCTCTACATTGCTTTAAGAAAAAATATATTTTTATATATATGTACTTTAGAACATGTATGAGTGTATATTTCATACTATATGTGGATTCTAAGATAGTCTGTGTAGTACTTTTTTTTTATTGCTAAAGTTATTACTAAAATATTTGCATATAAATAGCTCCTTCTAAAGATCTAGTTGATTTAGTCAATCATTTTATAACCTAGAATCCCATGCCATATCTACACAGAGATTAATTTTGAAATGACTTTCAATGCAGTGATTTGTCAAAATTACTTTTTTAGGTCACCTTTGGTATTATTTTCTGCAGTTCTGAGAATTAGACTGATTCTAATTTTCTGTGTTACTATATTCTACTGTGGCTTTAGGGAGAAACAACCCATTTCTTGCAGATAGTAGTTTATTATGTATCTTTGGGACAGACCTTGTGACTTGCCTCAAAGAGAACATAGCATGGATTCCTCATATCCTTGGATCTCTGACTTCAATCCTCAGACCTTCCCCCAGGTATTGACAATCATCTGCTGTTGGTGTTGTTGCTCTCTAGCTGTGGGAAATGTCTGCAAGCCATGTGCAAAGCTGTGCTCAAAATGCAACAGCACTTAGAGCATCTCTGAGGAACCTCGGTGCTTTAGTGAGAAGTCCCAGCAGGCCATGTGTGATTAAAAGGATGAAGTTTGTAATACTTAACTCAGAAACACAGTTTGATACCAGAAGACAGGAAGGCTGCTGTCTCCCAAATGAATACAGTGCAAAACTCCCATCCCCTAAACAAAACTGTACCTAGTTATCCAGCTTTTCTAAGGAGATGTAGGCAAGAAGTGATCAAAAAAAAAACCTCCCTGGGAGTGTGGGGCTTCTGCCCCAGGAGTGTTTGTGCTTCTCATCTGTTTCCCTGAGGCTTGTCTGTATGTTAAGGTACATAAGAAATTAAGGAACCTAGAGCTCTTGTATTTGCATCTCACCAGTCTCTGAATAGTAGACTAACCAGGGCCTGAGATGGACACTCTTACTGTATAGTTGAGCATTTGCTGACAGATTTTTCTGTAACTAATCATGCTTGTTTTACCAGCAAGCATTGCAAAAAAAGATCCTCTTTCTACAAGTCATAATCCTGCATGAAGGAGTAGGGTAAGCCATTTTTTCAGAATTACAGTTCCTGTTACAAGTTCATGTAGATCCTGTTTTGGGAGTTGTGTTTTTACCCCATCTCTAGGACTAGAGATCATTGAAGTATTTTAGGCTCTACCACACTCTTGTCAGGAAGTTGCTCTATGTGTCTCTATGTACCTGAGGCTGTAACTTCTGGCAGACTTAACTCGCCAGCTCAGTAGTGATAAAGACT